TATAAGTAAATGAGTTAACTCAAAGACAGCACTGGTATAGTGTCAGTTACTATTAACAATCAGTGATCATTTTTTTTTTGTGTGTGCTATAAAGCTTTAGTCTCCTGAGAACTTCTTTCCATTGAGCCCAGTATCTTGTGCTTAATATCTGTTAAGATGTTAACTGGACCTAATAATAATTAGATAATTAGACCTAATAATTAGAAACATGTATCCAGATTTCTCTCTCTCTCTCTCTCTCTCTCTCTCACACACACACACACACACACACACACACACACACACACACACACAACTTTGTTTTAAAGCAGTTTTAGATTCATAGCAAAATTATGCAAAAAGTGCAGAAAGTTCCCATAGACCCCTGTCCCAAGCACACAGGCTCCCTGCTATCCTCCACCAGAGGAAACAGAAGAGAGGAAGACATGTTCAAACTTCCCCCTTAAAATTTAAAATACAATATATAAAGAGTAGAAAACTTTATAAAAGATTATGTCATTGCTCATAGAGCACCACTAACTTATTCCCTGTTTCCCTTAAACCCCATCAACATGGATATTCAATGTCTCCACAGTTCTGCCTTTCACAGAATGTCATATAGCTAGAATCATATTAGTATGCAGCCTTTCCAGATTGACTTAATAATAACTTCACTTAATAATATGCATTTCAGTTTCTTTTGTATCTTTTATGGGCTGTTACCCCACGCACCTTTTAATGCTGAACAATTTTCAGTGTCTTGGGATACCACAGGTTATTCATTGGGCTGCATAGTTTTATGAAATATGAATAAAAACACTATAAAAATTCTTGTACACCTTAAATTTAGATTCCTCTGGGTAAATATCAAGGAGCATGCTTAATGGATCATATTGTAAAGCTGTGTTTAGTTTTGTAAGGAACTGACAATTCCTATTCTGAAATGGCTGATGGTTTTGCAGTCCACCAGCAATGAATGAGACTGCCTGTTGCGCCACAACCTTGTCAGCATTTGGTGTTTTCAGTGTTTTGTGAATTTGCCATTGTAACAGGTGTCTAGTGATATTTCCTTGTTATTGTTGTTTGAGATAGGGTCTTGCTATGTAGCCCAGGCTGGCCTTAAACTCACTGTGTACACCAATTTGGTCCCGAGTTTGTGATCTTTCCACTTCAGCTGAGAGCTAGGATTATAGGCCTGTGCCATTATGGTCAACAAGTTTTTTTTACATATACATATATTATTTAATTCTGGTAAATTTTATCATCTTAACTACATTAAGTGTATCATTCAGTAGTATTAAGTACATTCACATGGTTGTACAACCAGTCCTCAATATATTCCATCCTATTAAACTCTACACAGTCACTGTATTACCTTGCTAGAACTGCCATAACAAAATGTCACAAGGATGGCTAACGTAAGAAAAGCATTTCCCCATAACTCTGGAAGCCAAAAGTTCAATATTAAAGTGTTCACCAGTTTGGTTTCTTCTAGACCTTTCTTGTGTTCTCATATAGTCTTTTCTCTGTAGAAGCAACCCTGCTGTCTCTTTATGTGCAAATTTCCCCCCTTCAAAGATTCAGTCAGATTCATCCTGATGTTTTTCATTTAACATATTCATCTTTTCAAGGTCCAATTGCAAATATTACATTCTAAAGAAGCAGGGGTTGGAACCTCCATAAATTTTGGTGGACACATTCAATCTATTATATCCATTAAATAACCTTCATTCCCTCTTCCCCCAGTCATTCTGCTTTCTTGTCTCTACGAATCTATTGTCTTTTTGTGTCCGGTTTATTTCAAATAACATGTCTTCAGGGTTCATTTATGTTGTGGTCTGTGTCCGAATTTCCTTCCTAAGGCTGAACAATCTCCCACTTAGTGTATACGCCATATGCTGTTTTCCATTTACCCACTCACTGATGGACACTGGGGTTCTTCCCACCCTTTCTGCATAAGGCTGCTATCAACATGGATGAGCAAATCGCTGCTTTGCTTTGACATGTATACACCAAAGGAGTGGAACTGTCCTGAGAATTTTTTAAACAAGCACTCAAGTCTGGCAATCCTACTCACATATTTCTCCTTGGGCCGATTCTACCTTAAAATCTTTGCTTAGTACTATAAACTAAGGCTTAGATAAACTAGTTTGTCTCACCCACGCTGTGTATTAATTAGGTTATTTTAAAAGTAAGTATGAGTCAGGGACTTGGGATGTAAGAAGCAATAAACACTTTATCATATTAATTCAGGTAGCATTCAAGTAATTTGTAACTTAATTTTTCAAAAAGACAGAAACTAATACAAAACTAATACAATGATTGTGCAGTTTTGCAGGATAATATATTCTTTAATATGTATTACTTAATATATATTAAAATGTCTAGCACATAGCTTTCAATAAATGTTAGCTACAACAACATAAATTGGCAAACTACACAGCTTGGAACAACTCTGACATTAACCACCCTACCACTACTACTGTAAATCACACTAAGTAGTGGAAATGCAGGTGGGGAGACAATGAATAAAATTTACTCAAATCACTTTCTCTTCAAATAGTTAATCTATCTCAGAATATTGGAAAGCTTAAACTGTTTTGCTGGTTATGCTATTAAGAAGCTGGGGATATAGCGCAGTGACACGGCGCCTGTCTGGCAAGTGTGATGTCCTGAGTCTGTACCAGTATGGGGGGTGGGGTGGGGAATAATAGCATCTGTGTTCATGAATATTTTATGGAAAGATTATTTTATATCTTTCATTTTCTCAAAAAACATGTTTAGTCTGTTTTTTTTAAAAGCCAAGTGTATAGCTTTGGAAAACATCAACTCTCTATGCTTAAATATATAGTAATTTATATATGTAAGTATATAAATTACTAAAGTAATTTTACTTATATATAAATTTATCTACTTATATAAGTATAAAATTACTAAAGTAATATATAAGAAAAAATCTCTTTATAATTTCACATTACAAGAAATATATAATTATCAGTTTATCTATTTTCAACATGTACTATCAAATGATCTTCTACTGTGGTACACAATACCAAGCTCCCTGTTCACTGCCTCTATGACTTATGTAGAGCAATTTTAGGTCATAGATGAAACAGAAGGAAGCTGAGAATTTTAAAATCAAACAAAAGTAAAGTATCACGTTATGAGGTAAATTGAAAGAGAAGCCCCCAAAACTCTGTCCTCAGAATTTAGTTTTACCTGGAAAACCCCAAATTTTAATTTCTTATTAAAAAAAATCACAGGGTACAGCTGAATTTTTAGACATTGAATAGCAGTTTGTAACGTGGTTTTTCTCTTATGACCTCAGGACTTTCAGAAAAATTCTCTAAAAAGAACCTATTTTAATTCATTACAACTCGAATATGATAGCGGCCATAAAATACTTTTAGGGAAGGAGGAAAGAGAATACGGAGGGGAAAAAAAACAAAAACCAAAACAAACAAATAACCTGAGGAATTTTCAGAGGTGGGGAAAATATTACAAGAATACTTCTTCAGAAAGAAACTAGCAGAAATTATTTCTCAAAATGCCAAATAGGTGTGGCATGCTTCACTGGCATAAAATACAACAAATTCAGGTAATCCAACTCAACAGTCACTTACTCAACACCTAAGATGCACAGCCAGCGAAAGGAGCGAAAGTTCAAAGACGTGCAACCTTCTAGGCTTCCATAGAGAAACTGCCCCAGCAAGTCTTTGGTCCCCACCTCTAAGGACTGCGAGAGGACAGCACAGGCTCAGCTAGGCACAGCCCCTGAGATGAGAACAGTGCCATCCACAAGCGCTGTAGGTGGTCTGGGCACTCTCCCTGTGCTCAGATCACATCTGTAAGAGCTAAGTTTGGGGTCAAACAGGGAATCTGCAGTGATTCAGCAATCCTCAGTTTTGGGTGTTCTATTTTGTTTCAATTTTAAAGTTTTTAAAAGTGGTGCACTGGTTGAATTATAATTTTAAATGGTCGGCCCCCCCCCTTTTTTTTTCTACGCCTTTGGAATCCTTCCAAATACTGCCTGAAACGCTTAAGTCATTCTCTATGGTCAAACAGTTCTTGATGGTCGTTGTGTGAAAAATATGAAAAAGAAAACACACTCCTTAAGGGGGAGAAAGTTTACTGAAAGCTTCCACCTCCCTGAATTAAAAGTTATGAAACACCTTTGCGGTGAGATCGAAAATTTTCACTTTTAGAAATCTGTAACAGATACCCATTTAAGTGATAAATCAAATATCCTTCTCTAGTCATCAGGATGACAAAAGAATGCGTACAATGAAAAGAGGTCGTTTTCTTTTAAATTACTATTATTAGCGGGCTTGGTAATGCACACCTGTAAGCCAATCATCTAAGAGGCTGAAACAAGAGGGTAGCTAGTTAGAGCCTACTCCGGGCAATTTAACAGACTTAGTGAGACTTTGTCTCAAAAAAAAAAAAAAAAAAAAAAAATAGGGCTGGGGAAGACGCTCTGTGCCAAGGCCCTGGGTTCAATCCTCAGGACTCGTAAAAATAAATAAATAAACTATTATTTCAAAGGGGAAGGGTGTGGAAAAGAATTTGTTTTTTCATCCGGAAGAAGAAGGACCCTGAGTTCTTTCTTAAACAGATAACAAGGTCCCAACTGGACTCCTTATTAAACCGTCAATTCCCAATGGCAAGTCCTTGGCCTCCAGGGTGTCCCCGGACCAAGCGCGGGGCGACAAGTGAGCCTCTGCCACAGGTGGAGCGCTGGATGTGAGGCAGCGGCAACCCCTGGGTTCCCTGGTGTCCCCGGGCCGGGCCGAGCCGGGTCGGGCCACGCGGGCGCGCTCGCGGCCCGGCTCTTTGTCGAGAGCTCCGCGCGGTGCAGCGCCCCGGCCCCGTCTCTCCGCCATCGCGGCGTCCAGCAATTCGAGCAGGCCACACGGCCCCCGCCCTCGGGTCGCCCGGTCCTCAAGGGGCGCGTCCACCGCCCGCCGCCGGCCCTACGCGCCAGGGGCCGGGCTCGCCCCATCCCCGCCTCCCGAGCTCACCGCTTTGAGATCCAGGACGCCGTCCTTGGCCTCCTGCAGCAGCGATACGAACTTGGTGGTGAGCAGCCCCAGGCTCTTCTCGTGCCTGCTGCTGCCACCCCCGACGCCCCCGAGCTGAGGCGGCGGGGTCGGCGTGTGTCCCTGCGGGGACTGCGCCTGGGGCCGCTGGCCCTGCCCCTGCGGCGCCGGCTGTGCCGAACCCGCGGGCTCCGCCGCCGCCATCGCGTCCCGGCGCCCGGTGGTCGGGCCCGCGCCCTCCGCTCGCCGCCGCGCCCGCTCGCCCGTGGCCACCTGCCGGGTCGCAGCGCCCGCCCCGCGGGGAGCCGCACGGAGGTGGCGGGTCCCGCACACAACAGGTGCGCCGCGCTCGAGACTCGGAACTCGCGGCCACTCGGCGCGCCGGGCCTCCGCCCCCTCCCCAAGCCCGGGGACGCGGGAAGGAAGCCCACGGCCGAGGGGAGGGGCAGTGGAAACGAGGAGCAGGGGCTGCGAGCGCAGGGACCGGAGTTTAAATGGCCGGAAGTGACGCCGCTGCCCGCTGTCGCCTGGAAACGCATTTTTCGGTCGGAAGGAGGCGCGCGGGGAGGCGCGGCGCGGCGGGGAGAGCGCTTCAGGCGCGCTGGGTGCTGGGCCGAGCAGTCCCGCGGAGAGAAGCGAGCTCAGGTCGCTGCAGAGAGGAGCAAGAACCAAAAGAGAAGAGAGACAAACTTCTATGCGGGCACAAGGTCGCTGTGCCCAGCGGCCAAAATGTCTTGAGTTGTGAATTTGATTGGCTTCTCTGGTTGTAAAGTTGCAAAGATCAGCGGTCACTTTTTGTCATTTGGCGCTTTCAATACCTTTGCACCTTACCTGTTTTAAGTCCTTTGCAGACTTTTCAGTGATTTGATCCAAACCCAGGTTTTTATGCCATAGTTTATCTTTAGATTCTGAGACGAGAAAAGCGAAATCGTAGAGTTACAGGATTGTTTTCATACTTAGCAGTCATCTCCAAAGCCTTTCCTTCATGGATTAACTGACAAGTGGAAAAGTGAATTCTTCAAATTTTCACCTTTTGATCTGGATCTCCTGAATTTAAGGAGTTGTTTTTTTTTTTAAATGTTTGATAATATTGATAGTAAAAGAAATTACAGAGATCCAAGAGAAAGGTGACTTTTTTTCTGTATTTTTACAAAATCTTGACAATCAGGACAAAATTTTAAATGACTTAATTTCACAGGATACTTCGAATATAGTTGGCACTCAACAAATATTAAGCATATAAAAACTATGGCAGCAGTTAGTGAAGGCTTCTTATAAGATTTTGCTTAATTTAAAATAGCAAATTAGTGAAACAGTTTCACTGAATTGGGGAAGACTGACAGCACCATCAAATGATTAGCAAAAATGTTATAGGTTCCCATTCTCAGGCAGAAAGATTTTACTATTAGTAAATTAGCTTTTGTTTTGTTTTAATAGTAATAGAATTTTGGATTAAGAATATGAAGTAAAATGTGAAAAATTCAGTTTATAACAGTTGATAGCAACCACTTGTTAGCATTTAGCTAAGTCATACCTATGCGATATGATAGCCAAATCAACAATTTTGGTAATTAATTTTTGTAATTCTTGTTCAACAGAATTTGAAACAAGAAATTTTTTGTTTCTTAAGAAGTTTTAATTAACTTGAAGAAGGTAATTCTGCTATAATATGCAAGAACAAGAATTGATTAAAGTGACATTTTTACTTAAAACAGTATCTGGTGTTTTAGTTTGTTCAACCACTATAACTACGTATCCTAATACGTATCCTAATCAGTGACTTTAATAACGTAAATTTATTTTCTTGTAATTTTGGATGCTCCAAACTCAAATTAGGGGACAAACATGGTTAGGTTCTGGTAAAGGCCTCTTCCTGGCTTGTAGACAATGGCTTAATGACATTGTTGTCAAGTGGCTGGGACAGAATAGCTTTCAGTGTTTTCTCCTTGTAAGAACCCCTTTTTTGGGCCTCATCTAACTAAACCTAATTACCTCTCAAAGCCCATGCCTTCAAATACTGTCACTTTGGGCTTAGAATTTCAACATGAATTTTGGGAAAGTTCAATACAAACCATATAGCTTTACTTTATAGTAACTCAGTAATTTTGAATATATATTTTAATGTTATTTTTTTAAAAGATTTTTCTTTAAAGCAGTTATCTTACCTATTAGTGATGCTGAAAAATCATTCTGTGCTGGTTTGTATTTTTCACAAAAATTTTTTTATTTGTTCATATTAGCCGAGGTCCAAAGAGAAAATATTCACAAGTTAGCCGCTATTTGAATTAACCTTTGAATTTTTAAAATCTGTCTGAGGTGCTAAAAATCACTTATACCAGTGGTTCCCAAACTTAGGGTGAAAAATCATCTACAGTGTTTGTGTTATACATGTAAGTTTAGATTCTTAAAGTCAGACGTTAGAGATCAAATCAGCACTTACTATGAAAATATAGTTTGGGAATCTACATTGTTCACTTTCAAGTAATACCCATGAACACAGTTGCTCTTTGGGAAATACTGAATAGAATACTGAATTATATCCTTTCCTTATAAACTGCTAAAGATTAGAGACTGATAATTCAAGTGTGTGTGTGTGTGTGTGCTGTTTTTTGAGACAGGGTCTTGATACAATAGTGCATATTGCTCTTGAATTCACTGTGTGTGTGTAGCCCACCCTGGCCTCAAACCCACAGCACTCCTCCTGTCTCAACCTCCAAAATTCTGGGATTGCTGGCATGTTACACCATGCCCCACTTGCTGAATCTTTTAGAAATTTTTGTTGACAAAATTATGTACCATAAATTTTTAAAAATCAGAATACAAAGTTTTAATTTTTACCTGCTTTAAATAGATGCTTTGATAGGATGTGTAGGGTTCCGTAGATGTAGAAGCCTTACATACTTAAATACAGGAGCAAGAAATTCAAGTTCACTATAATAATAAAAAATTATTTAACTAGCATACAATGAAAGCTTTTATTTACTTATGCTCCAACATCTCTCTGTCTACTCTTGTAGATAAAACAGGAAGGCAAATTATGGTCAAACATTTACAGAAGCTGCAAGCTATTAAGATCTTTGTAAAAATCCAAGTTGCTGGGTAACTCTCCCTCTACAAACAATGCCGAGTGCTAACATTTCTTTGAAATTTTAGTGAGTTGAAATGCTTATCATCAAAGCATAAGATGACAGACAATAAGCCATACATGAAGACCTCCTAAACCCTATACATTTTCCAGCTAGGATCAGAAACTTACACATTGTACTTCTGGTGCAGACCCTTTGCCAACTAAAGCTCTGTGTCAACTCAGAGTTAAAAAATTGGGGATTCGTCGCTAAAAGAGTGTAATTTTAAGTCAAAAGCTTTGTAACCAAAAGATAATTTGTTACTAATGCAATAAATCTATGTCCCTAGATTAGAAAATAAGACATTCAAGATAATAGTAGAAGATATCTTGAGAATTAACTAACCTTGACAATGGCATCCTCCTATCTTGATCTACTGTAGAGCAAGATAAACTTTTATTTATAAAAATGTTTACCTAATGATATGTACTTATGAAAATGTTAAGTAATTTATTTAGCAAAAATTTTGGACTCACCAAAGATATGTATGCCAACTAAGCCATGTTAGCCATATTCACTACCAAATGAAATGATATGTGTTTTTAGACTCTCCGGGAGTGGGAGGTGCTATTTAAAATGAAAAAAAAAAGGGAACAGTAGATATATTACCTTTGATTTTTGATATTTTTCCTCAGTATACCATTTAATAATTTGTCTTCTCCAGTGTTTGGCACAGATATCACTAGTGTTATACATGATGATTTGAGGTGATAAGGGATTTTCTTTATAAGTTTTAAGCATAATTAATGTAATGTGCATTCAAAAATACTTTAAATGAACAATCAAAATAAATGATTTTACTTATGCTCTTTAAATTGTAGAAAAATTATTTTTTAAAAGTAACTGAATTTTAAGTAAGTAAAACTGATATGAGAAAGCCATAGTTTGTGCCGTATGAAGACATAGCAAAAATTACAAAAATAGAGCTAATTATATACTGATTTTGAAATTTTGTCAGTTTATTCAACAGTTATAGTTGAATAAACTGTTATAGTTATAGTTGAATTTTTTTTTAATTTTATTTTGAAAGTGGTAAAATACAACAGAGCAAGACAGAAAAAAGCCAACTAAGATCGTACAATGAAATTGGTACAGAACTTCACAGCAGGTTTCAGGGATAGCAGTAATAGGTATCACAGTATATTTCATTACCTTTATAATAGTTGTTCTTTCAATCACGTATATCAAAATGAGATGAAATACAGAACATTATAGAACCTATCAAACCAGAATATCATTAATCAGCAGTACCATTAATCAGAACAGAGCAAAACAGTAATAAAAATATTTGCCTTCAAAGAGATGGTAGAAGGAAATCCCCCTTATTTGCTATGGTCAACCTCCCAGGATATGCTCAGATTTCTGGTTCCCATTTGCTAATGGGGGGACAGGAGAAGAGGAGTAAGGGAAGTGGGATATTTGACTCTAGGCCATGTACCAGTAGGTTCACTATTGCTTATCAGGGAGGCCGGCTGGTTACTTGGTTTCCTAGTTTTGTAAGTTCCAACATGGTGTGGATCTCAGAAGACACTGGTGGTTCTCTCACTGGAAGGGCCCCAGTCTGCCACGCTGCCACCGCTTACCAGGAAGGGGAGGTGCTTGCTTGATTTCCCAGGGTCCTAAGTTCCAACATGGTTCAGATCTCAGGAGTGTGCTGGTGGCTCTCCCCCTAGAAGGGCCACAGTCTGCCACACCGCCAGGGCTTACCAGGGAGGGGAGGTGAGAGCTTGGCTTCCCAGTGTGCTAAGTTCCAACATGGCGCAGATCTCAAGAGCTGCTGGTGGGTCTCCCCTATAATTGAAGTTTGATGATATGGGGCTGGGGATTTAGCTCAGCGGCATCAGCACCTGCCTTGCAAGCATGTGGTCATGAGTTCGACCCCCGGTACCGATAAAAAAGACAAAAAAAAAAAAAAAAAAAAAAAAGAAATTTGATGATGATTCATCTTTTGGCTGGTAAAATAAAATCATATTATTCTTTCAGACTTCTGCTAATTGTTCATTGCAAATATTTTGCTCTGCAAGTTCAGAATTTCTATGTGTATGATGCTTTTTAAAAACAGAAAGCACCCTTATTTTATAAATTCAGTGATGTTTACAAAATAATAAGTGATTGTTAGCACAGAAAAAAGGAAGAGCCTTCTAGAATTTGACACTACAAATTCAAGTTCACTTTGCCACTGCTCAGACAAAAAGATATCTT